GATAGTACATATGAAAACTGAGATAAAAGTTACTTTACAAATGCATCTTAAAAAATGCTCAAAGTTTGCCTTTTGCCTGAGCATGTGTGGGACAGGAATGGGAGTACTCTTAGGTAGAAAGTAGGGAAGAGTGGGGGCAGGGGAGGGGGGGAGAATGAAGGAAAAAGTGAAGAAAAACTCTGGTGACTCTGGTGCAGCTTGAGCACATAACTGGAATAAGTTACCTAAGGAGAAGGTAGGTGAGAAGATGAGGGGTCCCTCTAGATTGTCGATAAATATTACTTGACGACTAAAATGAAGTTATTAAGTTAATTCATTACCTGTTGACATCCGCGAACAGCAAGTTTATCGGTCGATCTCTTTTTGAACGAATTTCTTGGATCAATATGATATCATACCTTAAAATCACCTGCAAAAAACATCAAACGTCAACGAAAGATTCATATATATTTACGCTCATCAAAAGCGAACGAGGCGATAGAGAGGAAACTCTCCTGGCATTGGCTGGATGTGGAAGTTCCACATCAGTGATCTTTTGTTCGGAGGTCAATTTACACAGACGTCCGCACTGTGAATATCGGACCGAGGCACCTTTGAGGTGAGCGTCTTAACAAACAGACATCGGCTCAAGATGTCCCCCTCTCTCAGGCTGTCAGCTGTCAAACTCCCGAATTTCTTTCCTCTCAATCACTGTTATTTTAATTTTCACCTCTACTTAGCGGTCGCGGTGACCTTTTACTAAGTCTCAACGGCATTTAGTTATGGTCCTCAACTTATATTGAACGGTCATAGAAAGCGGCCCACTCTGATGAAACTCAGAATAATATTTCAAGGATTTTTTGTTCATCTTTCTCTGCCAAAATCAAAGTGTGTAGTATTTGCGAGCGAGATTTTGTACATGAAGCGGCTAGTTATGGTATTAAATGGAGTTTTTTTTTAGTCTTTTATAATGCCCCTTGAACGGTAGGACCTGTATTAAGCAGTAGGTATGTGGTTGACCGTGAGTAATCGTATTTGGCCCATATGAGAGACATAAAAAAGATTCTTCTCGGAATTTAGACTTGGATCGCAAAAGAGACAATAAAATTTTTGCATGTATATAGGAAGCCAGTGTAAGAGTTGGGCCCATTTTTTCCTACCAAAACGAGACAGCAATTGAAGTTTTGAGCAAGGACCTTCTTCACTATAAATAGTTCTATTTTATCATTCTTTTTATAAATATGACGGTTTTTAAATAATCACCTCCCCTGAAAAAAAAACAAATAAACAAACAAACAAAAAGAAACACACACACACACACACGTTAGCCGCTACGCCCCGCAGCCCTTGATCGAGAAAAATATGGCGTTTTAAGGCATGAGCTATAAGCCTCCATCTGTGACTTCCAGTTCCATTATTGAACCCTTTTTAATGCACTAACATCGAAAAATACCTTGACTAATATTTCTCTGACCAAAGTATTTGCCATTTTCTTTGACCCAAATATTTGGACGTTAAATGTTGCAATCTTCAGAGCTGCTCCTTCAATCCTGTCAACTGAAGATGTTTTACTAGAGCATAGACATGAAAAAAAAGAGAAATGAGCATTTTTATCATTCCATCAACTTTGTGCACATAATCAATACCTACATCTGGCCCTTTGAGGGGTAAAAAAAACAGAATATTTTAGCCATACTAGTTAGAGCTCAGGTACTTTTCATGATCTTGGGATGAACCATTTAAGACAAGGGAGGTGAGTGTTCAGTGAAGGATTTTTTATAAAGCAAGAAGATTTTGCTGTAAACGAATTAAAAATGACTTGTTTATTTTTGAGGACTGGAAAAGAAAGCTGGATTTTGTAGTACAGTAAACTCAGGAAACTCATTTTATGTCTCCTTTATTTTGAGTGTGTTCTGTCACTTTACGACTCCCTTGCCTTCATTGTCCGAAAATTACGAACTTTGTAAGTAGACTCCACGCGCGCGGAATCAAAGCGGGCAATCCCGAACAAGCAAGATGGCTCCGCCCGCCCGCCCGCTTGGTGAGGTAGTCAGAACACAGGATTCACTTCATCCTGCCCACGGGCGCTGCCAGCTACATAAATTAAAATTGTACATGCTGAAAGCTCAGTTGCAAAACAATATTCATACTCATTGCACACTCACCATAATTCTGCATAAAATCCGACGGCCATGAGGCAAGATATTAGCCAAAAGAGTTTGCTCATTCTTGCAGGCTTTGTTGCGACACTTCTTTCTAACGATCTGGCAAGGTGCAAATACAGGTTTATACTTCAAGTGAAGAGGAATATATCAACCGTGAACAAATTAATAAGGACGTAACTGTACTGTGAACTAACCACAGACACGTAGGATATGTTGTTTTTCTACCTCCTTTCAACCGCAAATTACTAAGTTACGCCAAACGCCCTCTTCTGTCGAAGTTTCGATGGCGTCCTTGAAGAGGGCGTTTTGTTAAGTTAAAAATAGCAAAACTTGAGGGACAGTGTTTGTTCATGCTACCTGAACTGGAGACAACACACGTCCAAATACACACAATTATTTGCTTCCAAAAATAATTGTGTTACTGGGTTTCCCTCATAACAACACAAATCGCTTCAGTTGTTGTATAAATGATCTCCTAACCTGTTACAAGCTGATGTCTATGAGGGAAGCAAAAATGTATTTCTAAATATTTGAATTCAACAGCACGCGATTTGAACCTTACAGTTGAGCGGGCAGCTTGATCGTCTGGGTGAGAATGTAACTCTTCTCATTTCTGCTCACGTCCGAACGATCAGGCTTGAGAATTAATATCTGAATTATTCTGCAAAACACTTCCTACAAAAAGTACAGTAAAACGCTTGTTACATCTTACCTTCCAGCTGTATGTAGAGAGTGGAGGAGCCTAGAACACGCCAGAAGTTAACTCAACGCCTCTCAACCGCTAATGGTAATTAAGTATACGGACATTAGTATAACGAATTGATTATTCATGGTGCGCGTATTACAGGACCCCTTCTCCAAAATAGGCGCAAAACCATCTACAAATCGGAAGGAAAACAGGGTTTCAATAATTTTCGATTTTGGACATTCATATGCTCCACGCAAGAACAGTTTTACTAATTGCAACTGCGCACAAACAGCGTAACGACTGTGTGGAATTTACTCATGAGCACTTATCCCGAATCGACCAACACCGACACCTCATCCGACAAAAATATAATTCTGATATATATTACTACACATTATTTCGAAGTTTTGTGGCAATTTCGAAAATGGTTTTTCGAAAGTGACCTGGAAAGTACGTGACTTTAGTTTCTTCTACGGTTAAAGGAGAGTAGCAAGCGCTTCAATTTATTTTAAATCCTACTGTTCACAGCCGAATCAGAAGTATTTCAGTCCTTTAAATAAAAGAAAAAAGACTTCTAATATCTCATTTCATTTTTTTTACCTCTGATATCTGTTGTACTGATATGATATAACTGTCTGATCATGTACAGATTTGTAACAAAACAAACTTTTTGAAAAGGGAGTGGCGTTTGTTAAATTGCTGCTAGTACAGGAATCTTTCATTTTGAGTCACTGCGTGGTGTTCTAACGATTTGAATATGTGATTAAAATATGTCTAGGGGTGACAGTCATTTTCAAAGTGAATTAACAGCCAGGTTTAACTAGGATTTTACTAAGGAATGTTACAATGAGATAAAAACTGTGAAGAAAGGTTTAAAGTTTTAGAGGAAAACAGGTTTTTGTTCGGTTAGATGATCGAATGATATATGTAAATGATAAAACAAGCGCAAGAGAATAATACTCACATGCAGTGAGCCTCGTGGCAACGACTTGTGATGTACACTGCTTCTGTGAAAATGGCCTAACTGTCAGAAACTATTCGTAATATGCTTATCAAGAACCCTGCTAAAAGCCTCGGGCAATATTGAACTATTTTCGATTGAGTGCATGTGAGTAGACACAGCTTCAATAAACCGATAAAGAGAAACCGGAAAGAATTTTGAGGGTTGAAAGCAACGGTTCACTTTCGTACGCATATTAGAGGTCACTCACATGTCCAAGCATCTAATTGTTCAGAACAAAAAGAATCGTGGCTGAATACCTTTTTTTTTGGTCTGAAATGTATTGGCGACTTTTACCTTAAGGTGCAGAATATCGTATTTTACGATAACGAACGACTCGATTTAATGACAAAAACAAGCAAACAGGAAAAGTTAAGTAGAGCGTCGAAGACACTTTGGAAACATTTTGTCAATCAAGTTTTAACTTTAATGTCATTAAAATTGCAAATTTTTTTGAAGCCAAATGAAAGCTCGATGAATAAATTTCATGGAGACTTAAACATCGAGACATTTAAGAAATGTTTTTTTAAGATCTATGACACCCACTTATTGGATACCATAATTAAGAGTCACGCGATCAGGTAAAGAAACCTCACTTTCAACCTAGTTCCCAGTGTCCTTCCTCCTACTTCGTACTCTACTTTCTCGCGGACGGAAGAGAGGACTTTGGAAACGAGATTGTCTCACTTTGATAAATGGTGGGAAACCCTGAGCCCTTGTTATAGGCAAGGAGAGCGCGCTCAAAGTTCAGCTCAGAACACCGCCATTTTAAAGACAATTCAGTAACCCGGCCGCACATCCTTGCCATCCCAGAATTCAACTCCGATGGCGGGAACCAAAACTTACGGTGTACAAACAGCTGAGGCTTGGTTCGTCGGCCGTTCTTTTAATTAGCCTTGAATCAAGTTCAAATTGAATTAATTTGAGCAGACAAGTTGTAAGTTGAAGTATGTTGAGATGAGGTAAGGGGCCAGGTTGCTAGGTTACATTCAAAACGGCCGCATCCAGGCGACGTCGTTAGAGAGCTGTTTGGTTGCAAAAATTATTTATCCGGATATAAATGTCATAAATTAAGGTTTTATATTAGAGTTACCCCTTTGAAGGTTTTAAAAACTGCTCTTCTCTTTCTCCTTTTTTCCTTAGCGCACATTGTTACAAGAACTACGATCCCTCTGGTCAGTGTCACCTTACGGTGAAAGGTCAGTACGTGATGTAATTGTCGTATAATGGTTTAAAATATTTCATGAGAGGTTTGGATTGTACTTTGGACTACATACCGGCACATTTTAATATCCCAACGGTCGGTTGAAACCGATTTTTTCTAAAACTAAATTGGTTGATGACAAAAAATAGAAGCAAGATAGAAAATGAGATTTTGTGCAAGCTCGAAAAGTCCGTTTCTACCAAACCCTCTCGACATTATTGACTTTTAGTGCGTGTTCAGTTTGGCGGGAAAATCGTTTGAACAAAGCAATGTGTCTATCATCGATATGACTTGATTCGAGTTGATGCAAGCGAAGAAAAGTTCACGATCAGATCAACCGTCCGTTGTAAAACGTTTTTTTTTCCTTTTCTAACGTTTTTGATACTATCTAAAGAAGTATGAAATAATAAAGCTGGTATGAAATAATTGTTGACAATTTAGCATTTTGCTCTTACTTATGACAAAAGAGCATTTTCATAAAACTTAAACATGATCAGAGAACTAAACTGCACTTAACACCACGCTTGCATTTTGTAACACGCGCGTGAAGCACGCACATTACAAAGTCGCCTTAATTACATCACATTCACTTAAGGACAGCACGATTCTCTTCTAAAAGCTTATCGTGCATACGGTACATAAAAAGTTTTAGAATACTTTTATCAATCAGCTACTAAAATTCTTTTATATTGGTAACAACTTACAGAAAGCTGAAGAGTTTACAGAGTGACTTCGAGTTCGCGTGGGTCCCAGATTTTTACCACATAAGTCCGAAAAATGGCTGTTACAAAGGCAAAAGCTCGTTAAGCGATAAAAGGCCGTGCATGTTATATTGATTGATCGTAAGATGTGAGAATCTAGAATACCTATTTAAAATGCGTTCAGGTAATTGGTTAAAATCGTGTCGCGCAACAACAAAAGTTTTGTTAACAAAGTTTCACTGTTTGATCATGTTTCTCTAAAAGTGCGAGAATATTAGCATCAAACTATGTCTAAGTGCGAGAATATTGATACATAAAAGTTTGAGAGAGGCCTAAATTTGTTCTAAAAAGTTTCGAAAATCATATCTTGACCTAGAAACCGTTCAATTTTCAATATAACTGTACAAATCAAATGATTTCGGGAAAGTCTAACACAATTATATGAGATGCAAATACGTCTCGCTGTTTTATGCTAATTTAAATCTATTGTATCTCCGATCATCCGCATCGCCCAATAATTGAAAATAAAATCATGTCGAAAATCACTAACGACCCAAACGACTGGCTTAAGTCATCGCCTAGATTTCTCCTTCGCGGCCGTTTTTTGGAATGTCACGCAATGCTCTCTCTCTCGCGGTAGGTGAGGGAGCTTGCATGACATCCTTAGCGGCTGCGAAGTTTACTAGAGTCTTTCCATAATCTCAGAAATTGGGACCATTGGTTAATGATCCATGTGATCATGTGGAAAACAAGTTTTAGCCATCTCTCCCTGCGTTTGGCGTGTAATGTTTTGGTCCGATTTCCAATGCACCTTCTCTGAGCCAGCAGAGAACTCCATGTTTGAATGTACCAGGTTCTTGTCTACTCGCACAGTATCGCATCAAGAAACCCGAGGAACTAAGAATCTTAATCCTAGAGGGTAACTCAATTTATTCTTCCTCCTACGCTTGTTTCGTAACCATAAGGGCGAATACTAACGAAGAAAAATCAAACGTAATTAGCTTATATCCAATTTAGATTTCTCCCTCCGATTTCGAGCACTTAAGTTTGTTTCAGACATCTCCTCCAATTTCAGATTGATCCGTGCCATTTGGACGGCTCTGCGCAATTTAGTCCGTTTCTTCCAGTTCCGGTTGGTTCCGCTCGACTTCAGACGGGTTCTGTCCGTTTTCGAACGGTTGCCTCCAATTGCGGTTCCGCCCTATTTCGGACTGAAAGCGGCGTCAGCTCATGGAAAGTTCCGTCCGACTTCGGACTGTTGTACTTGGATTCGGACATTTCTGCTGGATTTCGAATACTTCCGTACGATTTCATATTCTTCCATTCAATTTAGCAATATTCTGTCCAATTTAGCACACTTCCGTCTTATCTTAGACGCTTCTGTGTAACATCGAACGGATCCTTTCGACTTCGGGACTGTTGCACACACTACTGTCTAAGCACAGAAACTCTGTAGCGAATGAGAAATGATTTGAAAACGGAAATCGGGACTTAAAAAAAATATTATTACCATCGACAGATTGTCTAGTGCAATAGACCTAGACTTGACGTCTAAAATTGACATCTAAGAGTTTAATTCCGTGAAAAGGAAGAAGAGAAAATAAAACTTTTACCAATTGCACGTAGAGCTCAACTGATCGCCCCATACGCTCATGAACAGGTATTTTAAAAGCTTCCATGATATATTGTCCTCAGGTTCTTTTCTTTACTCGTCAGTGGCTTCTTCTTAAATTTTTTGGAAGCCTTCATTTGTTTATGAATCAACTTAGTCCATTTGCTGTACATCTGTTCAGTAATAGATCACAGATGACGTCAAACGGCGACAAGAATAAAAAAGTAACACACCAGGCGCAGCCAGGTGTGTCACTGAAGTTCTTATGATCTATTGCTGGAATCTACTTGTTTTAGGTAATAAAGAAGCTAAAAATGGTCATGGTGACGTCATTTATACCTCTTTCCTTCGATAGCTCACTCGCAAGAACCAATTAAAATGTGTGTATAATTTACCTTATTACAAAAATAAATTTAATTTTGAGCCAGAAAACACTCCGCATGCTGATCGACCTATTGGAAAGAGGATATTATTGTTGTATGACGCAAGCGCTCATATGTTTCCATGCTGTCGTGTGTTTGTTCAGCAACAGATCACAGACGGCGTCAAAGTGTGGTTGGAACTAAAAAAAAATGTCCCTCGACGCACAGCTGAGTGTGACGATAATGTTCTTACCGAGGGTAAAGTTGTTTAGAAAATAATCAGAAGGTAAACGAAAATCTGCTCGATTTCGAACGAGTTGGAGTGAGCGAGGGTTCGAGTTTTCGCAGCTAGGTCGAACTACGTATGAAGGAAGTCCAGCGGAAATCGATTTTAGTTTGATTTAACTGGGGTGTGATTTATCGGGTGTCGATTGTTCGCAGCTAGGTCGAACTACGTATGAAGGAAGTCCAGCGGAAATCGATATTAGTTGAGATAACTGGGGTGTGATTTATCGAGTGTCGATTGTGTTCAGTTCATTGCAATAGGGGTTTGTTATACATTGGTCAATTAAAACCATACCCTCCTATCCCCGGACAAGGCGGGGAGTTAACGCAGTCGTGCCCGGGTTTTAATACAGAGGCAGCATAATCCCACTGGCACAGGAAGTGCCCGACTAATCCCCAGCCGCCTTCAAAGCGCGGGCACACCGAAGTGGGCAAGACGACTTGAAACAAGTCAGCAAGGGCATGGGGAAATAATTCCCACATGACCGCAGTGGTGGGGCATTTTAGCAGGGATTCAGTAATGATCCATATTGGAGATAGCTCCAGTGGTCTACAGCCCGTCTTTAGAAAATAAAAGGCCAGATTGGGCCGTCTTCCTTTATGTCTTCAGCACACTTTGTTGTTGTTGTCGGAGTTTTACTTTTATTCTCTGTATCAAATTGCTTCCTTTTTCAATTAAGGGTCTCCGTCTTGAAACCTTTCCTCTTTTGTAAAGCTACTACTACTGTTGGTTCAATTTTCATCAGTAATCACAGGAAGAAATAACTCGGTGATGGGATTTTAACTGACGATGTGTCCCTATACCAAGGAAGAATTTCTGTCCTAAACACTGCGTAAATGTTTTTAAAATTCTCCGCCTCGTTCCAGGGGGCCGACAGCAGGGGCGGAGTTTCAATTGACTTCTCTCAGTATTGACGTTGGTGGTTATAAATTTTCTCAAATCACAGGAAGTCGATCGAGAGGAGTCTGTCATGCTTTAGAGAACTTCAGAGGTCGAAAAAAAAAAAAAATGAGCGTCCTTTATTGTCAGTAAACAGTTTGGGCTCCTGCCAAGACGGAAAACATGCGATAAACAGGAAGAGCTTGGAGAGGTTATCTTACATACTTGAGTGACTAGTACAATCCCCACTCTTCCATTCTGATGTGTAACCGCTGAAATCCGGATGCAGCGTATAAATATTGACAGCGCGGTCGAAGGGAAGATCTCAAATTGCACTTAATCTCGTCATAGGATTAACATAGTATAATATTCGTTTTCTTTGGTTTTCGCTCTACAGTGGAAGTACTAAGACATCGTTTTACTTCGCGTTGAACAAAGGTGAAGATGACTTCAGTATTGAAGCGAGCTTCCAAGAAGAGCAAGCCTCAAACTCAAGGTAGGCGAAGTTTGATCTGCAGATGTCGCAAACTGGCGCGGTATATTTGGGTTAAATGTTGTATTGCGTCTTTGATTCGCCAGCACTTTCCGCTTAGACTAAGGTTTATTTCGTTGAATAGAAAGTGGAACAGGAAAAACATGGCTTCATCCAGCCGAAACTTTGCAGCAAGGATCTGTAGTTTATTCTGTCAAGGTAGGATGGCCTGTGATTGTTTCTTCAGACTAATATTGAAGGTGTCAAAATCTATTCCCAAGGCCTCTAAATGCGTTTTATCATGGGGTTTTCTGAAACATATTGAAGACAAAATTAACCTATCAAAGGAAATTTATTCAGCAGACATTTCGTACGCAAAAGGTTAGAGAGTAGAATCAATAAAATTCGTCCCGTCTTGCTCTTTAATCAAGTGTTGTGGAATTCGCGATCACAGAAAGTTCAAATGCTGTTTTAGACAACCACGAGGCATTAGCTTGTGTTCATCTCCAGTTCTTTTAACAAACAGATCTTGTTTCCATTCAAAACACAGCCTCCGCAGTTTTAGTGAAAGAAACTGTCTTCATTCAAAGTAACAAAGTCGCCCAATTAGGCCCAAAGGAACAATAAATTTACTCTCCCCGGAAATTGCCTGCTTGAGAACCGTTTTCTCCTGCCTCTGATTAGTTGTTCACAAACTGTCGATGTTTTTGCCTTTTCTGAAGTTTAAGCCGAAGGTTAAACTGTTCGTAATCGTTAAAGACGCATTTTTCTCTCAAAGGTTCTTTCGTAAATTATTTTTGAATTAGTGCTGGTTGATTTATTTTAAACATAATATAATCGCACAATGCACTAAAACTTATCCGACAACATACTGAGTCAACTTAATAGGTCGCGGAAAATTGAACCCTGGAGTGAAAATTGAGAATGCCAGTCCACCGGGAACCACTGGCAGGGAATCTTGGTAAAATGGCAAATGATTTCCATTTGGTTTGAGTCATTCATGTACAATTATGTTATAGTTTGAGGGGTTGTAACTTACTCAACAGTGGTATAGTTAATTAACATTCAACTTTATTGTGTTTTTGTTACTTTCAACGCGAGTACTTTGAGAAGAAAGAGCTCTCAGCTCAAAATAGCTCAAGTCTCAAGAAATAGTTTTGAAATTATATTTTGACTCACGATGGGAAATATATTTAATTTTGTTCTTAATTTGACAGCCCTATTTATTTTCACGCGTCAAGTGAAGAAAGTAATTGTGTGCAAGGTCGGCCAGATTGTTTATTAATGATTATGTAAACTCGCATTCTCTCGTTCAGCTTTTGGGGCATACAGATGTACCCCAAGCAAAAGGGACAGACATTGTTAGGGAAGCCATCAAGAAAGTCAAGGTAATTGATTTATGGAGAAAGATAGAATAATCCTCTGCGGAAAGCTGTAGCCAAATATCACAATGGGTAGCCTTAACTGGCAAATATGAATGTATACATGAAATTGTGTTAAATATTCCTAAACTTATGGTGAAAATTCAATATCAATATTGTCACAACAACAATATACAGACATCCACAAAGAAAATTGTGAAATCGAAATTTTTTCCCTCTTTCATATTTAAATGATACAATGTACATCAGATCAGATGCCCAATATACTTTGATATTCAGCCAAATTCTTCCAACTGATCTTCAAGGGAACATAATGTGACTGTAAGGGAAAATTAATAATCCAATATTGGGAGTTACATGCAAGGGGGTTTAAAGCTTGATGTATTGTTTGCAAGCAATGAATAGATTTTTTTTTGTTGGGAACTGTTACATTAACTTGCACATGTGCCTGGTTTATTTATAGAAAAAGTGCTGTCACTATTATTTCTGCCTAGATGCTAGATCAACTGATGAAAATAAACTTTATATGATAAAATTAAAAATGAAATGATCAAAAAGTATTTCATTTTGATTCGATGAATGACATAATTTCTGCAATTTTTAAGAACAAATAATTTTGAAGTTGTGGATTTTAGGGAACTCAATTTAATATATAACATCCAAAGGACCTAGCTGTTACATTAATACTTGTCCCATGAGACTTGTGACTTAAAAAAATAATGACATCTGAAATGTTTTTGTAATACAGTCAATGGCTTTGTTTAAGGAGTAACATTTAAATGAATGTATTGGGTGATCATCCTGATAGAGGAAGTCCAGGAAAGGACTGTTCTCTATAATATCAACTAATTAAGCGAGTAATCATAACTATGACGAAATTCCAGATTGTGATCTGTTACTACCAACACAATCTGGGCACTGATAGGAAAGTGAATGCATTATGCTTGTAATGGACAGAGAAAACATTACATGTGCATGCTCTGTTGCATATTTTTTGTTGAAACAACTGTTACTTTTTATGAAAATGTACAACTGATGCCTACATTGTTTCTCAAATTCTGTCATAGTTTTGATTAATGGGTAGTAGGAGTTTTTGTTGTTAAATTCTGTTTGTAATCATATTGGTAATGAATGAGTTGAACTCCAGCTTTATGGTGATCTGATTTTGTTAATCACTTGTACAATAACATTGTAAACTTATGTATGGTCCCAAGGGAAACTGTTAGTTTGTTTCCCAAGAGTCCTGATGTTTCCAGAGACAAATTCGAGGGAAACATGAAGACTCTAGGGAAAACAAAACTTACTAGTTTCCAGAGGGACCATACATAAAGTGCTTTGTTATATATTTAGACTTCCCCTTAAAAAATCATATGGCAAAAACGTGTTGTTGTATTTGGTGCGTGGGCTACAACTGCAAAATTGTATCATGGTTGGGATGCATTTGAATTTGGTCAGGCACATGACCAGGAATCAACCAACCACAGTGCTCATTTTGTTGAGTGACAGTCTAGGTACATAACAAAATGAGATGTACTCCACATTGTCCTTTGAGCATCACAAATCTGAGTGGAGTTATAACTAGAGTCAAAGTTGTATGTTTAACAGGTTCTAAACACATGCAATTTGTGTGGTCATAAGGGTTGCAAGTCTATGGTGACAATGTGAATTTCATTAGTAAGCAATAATGTTGAAATTTTCATTACTTGTAGTTTGCAAATCATATCAAAAAGAGTGAAGCTGGTGTCAAAGGCAGTAAATTGAAAAAGGTTGAGATCAAGATATCCATCAACGATATCAAAGTAGAAGATGTCAAGACAAAGGTAACCTTGTTTTGCCTGTGTGTCTTTGTATCTGTGTTTTTCTGTATCTCTGTCTTTCACTCACTCTGTTATTATTTATTATATTTCTCAAATCATTCCTTTAAATTTTTACAGGAGGAGCTATACTCATACCCACTTCACCGTATATCCTATTGTGCTGACGACAAACGCGATAAGAAGCTGTTTGCTTTTATTGCCAAAGATTCTGGCCAACAGCATCATAACTGCTATGTTTTTGAGTGCGAAAAAATGGTAAACAAGATCATGGTTCAAATTAAATGTGGTTTCACAATAGTTAGATAGACCATACATTGTGTATATGTATATAAACATAGTGCCAACTCAGAAAAATCCCCAATTTTAAGAGGTAGTGCTTCATCATAGTATTCTGTGTCATTTATTGCAATGTCAAAAATCAGCTTGAACCCTTTCACTCTCGAGATCTCACCAGTAGTTCTCCTTACTGTCTGCCATACAATTCTTACAGTGCTAGTTCAGAGAATTTGGTATTGGATCAACCAATATTCCATTAATTGATACTTTTCCTCATACTCATTGCTTGTACACTTGATATTGTTTTGATAATTTAAGGAGAAATTCTTTCTCAAAGGGTTCATCTACAATTTTGATGTTAGTTCTGAGAATTTGGAGTTGAACCAACTAATAATTCCCTCGCTGTTATTTTTCTTTATTCCTATTAATTGTCTGTTTGATATTGTATAGATATGGTAAGGAGAAATTCCGTTTTGGTCACTCTTGGGAGTTAAAGGGTTAAGGCAAAAGAGAACTTAAAAGACAGGAACTGGTGACTTTTGCTGCAAAATTTAGTCACCTGAAAATGTTTGCTATTGCTATGGCAAGCAAAATTCTGATTTTTAATCTAATGATGGGCATTTTTCTTCCTTTCAATTTCAAATTGAAGGCAGAAGAACTCACCTTAACTGTAGGACAAGCTTTTGATCTGGCTTATCGAAGATTCTTGGAAAAGAAGGCTCTTAATGACAATTCAAAGAAAAAACTTAATGAGATGGAAGAAAAAATCAAAACTGCTGAAGAAGAGAAAGAGGCATTGAAACAAAAAATTGCTGAACTAGAAATAGCTGCAAGTCAAGGCTCAGGGCCCCCTTCAAGTAATGGAAGTAATGAGGTAAGGTGTTTTATTTTTTTTCCCATAATTTAAATGTAATAATAATTGTTGTAATTTGAGTATTACCTTTCTAACTTCCTGCACATTGTCAGTCATTTTAAGAAAGGCTGAAAGTGACCTATAAACCAATACTATACATTCAAGAAAAATTAGTTTGCTTAATTGATGGGGGGGGGGGGGGGGGGGGGGGGGGGGGGGGGGACTTTTTAAAAATAATTTGGGAAATAGGCTGGGTATTTATCTCTGGAGAATGTCTTATTTGAGGTTGTATAATATTTAGGAGAAGAGAACAGACAAAGTCAGCTTATAGTAATACTGCCTTCTTTTTTTTTTTTTTTTTTTCAGTGAAAGGTTCATTATGTAGTACCCACTGACAATTGTATTTTAAGAGTTAAATTAAAGGAAGGTTCTGATCTAAAAGGGATCTTTTAAGTGTTTATGTGTTCACTGGTTTTGAGTTTCTCAGTGATAGTTTGAGAGTTCAGGGTTAGGTTTAGGAAATCTGAAGATCTTAGGTTCAATTCCTGATGGGAACTCAAGAGTTTTTTCTTTGTCCCATGCTTTTGACACGAAGAACCACAGCCTTCTTCAGTTTAAGAGCTCTGTAAATCCTGAAGATCCCTTCATCAATTGTTATTATTGCTTTCTCAGGGTAACAGGAGCCAGTCTGATCCAGATGAATTTGATCTCTTGGGTAGTTTCAGTTCTTCTTCTGTGATGCCCATTTCACCGCTACAAGACACAGCACCTGTTTTCCCTCAGGATTCAGCCAGTCAAGACATATTCTTTGATCCTTTTGCACAAATACTGCCATCTCAGCCTCAAACAGCTGCTCCTACATCACCTGACGTAGATGAATTGTCACCATCACCTGTGAATCCATCTGTACCCAGACCAGCAACTGGGGGAGTACTGCCAGTTGCTCTTCCTCCTCCTCCAACCAAAGAAAGTGTCAAAGCAGCCAATCGAATGAAAACAAACAGTGGTAGCGCAGCTCCAGTCATGTCACCCACAGCTATGTCACCCCTACCACAAGTAGAATCACCACCAGTTTCTCAGTCAGCACCTTCAGATGGTGAGAAGATCTGTTGACCTTTTAGCCCCTGTGATCTGATTTTTAATTCTCTCCTCTAGCTGCTACACATTTCTTGTCATTTAGTAACGAGAATTTAGTTTTAGATCAAGATAACAATTCTTTCTGATACATTTGAGCATTCTCATTACCTGATGGTTGGGTAGTGTATGGATGTTATAGAGAGAAGTTATATGTCAATCACTTGTGGTAGTTGAAAGGTTAACAACTGGCCCTGGTTGTTGCAAGGGTGTCTGATCAAGTTCATTCTGTATGTGGAAATGAATGCAAAAGAGCTGACATTACTGGAAAAAGTGTTTTCTGGAACTTCTGTTTATATACTCTATTGGCCCCCAGCAGTGATGGAGAAATACTTTCTCCCTACAAAATCAATACAGTATCAAGCAGACAAGTGATGAGAAGTTAGAAAAATATCAATTAGTGGATTATTGTTTGATCTAATAATAAACTCCCAGAACTAAATATATAAACAGGAGAGTTACTTGATAGATCTTCAGAGTGAATGAGTATTCAATCTAATAGCTAATTTTGAGGACCACAAGCTATCAGAATTGAGATGGAGAGTTCAGTATAGTACTTATACATACAATTCTGAAATCTGTGATTCACCCTGTTCACTCTAGTACAGACAATGTGCTACTTTAATTTTTACAGTTTTGGATACTGTCATAAAAGATTTAGGGCTGTGTTATAGTTTAATTATTTTCTTGTTACCTCAGATCTACTACAACTGAGTAGTGGCCACTCAGCTAATCCATTCTCCAGTGGTCTTAATGGCGCTGATCCATTTGCAGATGATGATCTGTTTGATCCTTTTGCTTCTAAGAACAACTTCTTTGACAGTGGGAAGGAGATCAATCAAAATTTACCGGTTTGTTTTTCAACCTTAACATACATATACTCTGTACCTATAACATAGAAATTCATTACCAATTACACTATCGACATTGCTAATCCTAGCAGTGTGCAGGACACATATCATATGAGCTTTGTAATAGACCTCGCTCACTGTAGAGTCTCTGTGGCTCAGTGGTAGAGCATTGGAGCATGGAATCTGACAGTCTGAGGTTTGATTCCTCATGGGGACTCAGAATTTTTTTCTTTGTCCCAAACTCGTCACAGGATGAAAAACATCTTTCTTGACAGAGAAATGCTTCTTATGAACAAGTTTGAGTCCTGTACAGGCTGCTAAATGGACTAATTATAGTGCACATGCTAACTGAAAGATATGATAAACATTGTTAAATTAATATTTAACTATATATGGTTTGCACTCAACCTTCAGAGACTTAAATTCAATCAGGCAGTCAACAGACTTGCATTCCAAAGAACAGAGGGTTCAGAATTAACAATATTCAAGAAAAAAGAGTGCGCATCTGTTATTGAGTGAAAACAATTGCATTTTTCATGTAACATGAGTGCAAAGTTGCAACATAAGTACAAATTACAAATAGCACATATGCACTGCCAAAAATTTTGTTCATCTTGATGTTCTGTGATTTGTTTATGTAAATTATGTACAAGTGACAACATGATTGCTTGTGCAATTTTTGTTGTCTTTGAAAAATTTACTTGTGCTTATTAACACCAAATTGCACTCAAAATCATACTGTTACCTATACGTACTTTTATGTGTCTTGTCCCCACAGAGTGCATTTCCAAGTGACCTAGTCCTTCATTAGAAGAAGGAGAAAATTGGAAAATAAAACTACACCAGGTAAAATATGTCTTGTAAGAATGTGTCTAATGAAGGGTTGATTTAAGTGATAACCTTCAACAGTAGAGGACATTTTCTATATGTACATGGCCTCTTCTAAACTAAGCGATGCGGTAACATTATCTTCTGTTTGGCGTGCTGAGATGAAGCTGTTAAATCCCTGGTTATTTATCACCAACTTGTCATGCACAGAAGGGGGGCCTACTAATAATTGAACAAGGTGTGTTTTGCCTTTGAAATGTGTGAGCCATCTGAAACTGTGTCATGTGTTAGAATGATCTACCTCTGTTACCAACTACACTTTTTAAGTTTAACCTTTCACTAAAACTTGAGTTACTTGGTCTGTTCTGTTGCCAATTGATCCTTGATTTCCCCTTAATTTAGAACCTTTGGTCATTGATGGAAGGGTCAAAATTTGGTGTGTATCTTACAATATAGAATTCAAAGACAAAAATTAGTTACTAGAGTTATGCTGTGTTCCCCTTTTCACGAGGTAGCTGGTAAAAACTGTTGCTTTTAGTACCTTTCAACAGGTAAAAGGATTGTTCTACCAATTTGAAAATTTCTTTTACATCTTGTGCTTACAATAAGGGAGAACACTGGGTATGTAAACAACAAAGTAATGAAAACTGTTTCTTTTTTTTTTTATTTTTTCTCACAGCAAGGGTCAAAGATGTTCTTAGACACCAAAAGTGGACAACAGAATTCATAGAGTTTTAAGTGAATCCAATACAGTTATTGTTCACAGCGCAATTGTGACTTGTATATTTAAATTAATGCAGCAATATTTCTGGATAATGAAGAAAAAAAAGGATTGTTTTACTGTGAAGACTTTTTTTTAATGAATGATCTTAAAGTTGTAGATACTGCGGAATGATTTAACATTAAATAGAAGGATGCCATTGATAAAGAAGAAGAAGGAAAAGAAAAAGAATACATTTTAAAATGTCTTATTGATATTGTCCACTGATATTCCTCTGAAAATTATGTGTCAGATGCTAGATTTAAAGTTTATTGTTCTTTGGTGATACAGTTTGTTGTCATTGTGCATCAATCAATTGGAAGCTTCAACATTTCCCCCCCCCTCCCCTGGTCTGGGAATTTTATATTTTGAAGATGGGTTTGTTCAAATTCTGCCCATCAAGAAAAAATTTTGTTCAAATACCCATACAAATTTTTTAAAGGCAAAATCAGCTACTGTAATGCTTTACAAATTGACCAAGCTCCAAAACCTTTTCTTCTGAGCTGTTTTCTCATGAAAGTGGGCTATTTACCCTAATTAGCCTGCTATATTGAACCACTAACACTTGCATTCCACCAACAAGACCCATCTCTTCTAGTTCAAATTTCTTACCCCAGCCAGGCAAGGTTCAAATTCTTTACCCACCCCCCTCCCCCTGGCATGGATGATGGTCAGGTCTGTATGGGAAGGGGGGGAAGGGAGTTGTTGAAGCTTCAATTTGATGGATGCATCAGTAAGTCAACCTTGTAACTCCTAAGATGTTACTTTTCGTAATCCTCCTATTGAGTTCCATACATACCCTTGTAAATTAGAATGGAGAATTTGGTGTTACATCAAGGCGACACCCTCAAGCTGATAAGCTTGTAAAGAGAAATTACGTGTCAAATACTTCAAAGGATTTAAGCATGAGATTTTATGGCAACAGTAAATGGCAAATATGAACTCCCAGCAGACATCTCTTGTTCCAGTTGATCCAAATATATATTTTATGCACTAAAAGGGTTGAAAGTCAGTGATAGGTAGTTAAATTTTTTGTCACATCACATGGATGTCATGCATAACTTTTTTACTTTCAAGGAAACTGCATAGGATGAGCAAAAAAAGATTCAAGACAAAGAACTTGGCTTTAGTGAATTCATTTCCTGTACCTTGGTGTTATTGCAAAATATAACTATTGATATGAAACATCTTCAAATGACCAAAGAAGTTTACTAAAAACTGAAAAGACTGATTTGTTACCCTGAAATTATGACCATGTTGAATTTCTAAAGGATAACAGATTAGCCTCATAGTAATCCCTATATTTTTCAACTGTTTACGATGATATAAGTTAATTATTAATAAGACATAATAATTATTAACTCATTATTAATGGTATGGCTTTTGTCAAAGACTTTATTAATCTCCCTTTTTTTTTAATGAAAAGATTGCCGGGAAGAAAGGATTGATTGATCAGGAAGAGGTCATGATTTAATGTTATTCCTTGAGGGAAATTAATAGTAAAATTTCCCATGGGATATATTGTAAAGAATTTGGATTGTAATGTACTTTTAAAGAGCATGATTTACAACAACAAATCAAAGAACAGATTTTTTTCCTACTTATTGCAGAAATTGAGATTGTCAGATTGTTAAGCAGGCTATGGTTTTTAGGGTTTTGCCTAAAGGCACAGCAGCCTTTTATTCCATTGGCAGCCTCGTAAAGAAAACGTCATTGAAACTCCTAAGTTAAGAGGAACCAGTCATAGTTCAGGAAAGTGTGTCGACAACTGACCCCTTTAAAAAGAAAATAGACTTCTATCAACTACTTTCTCATGTGTAAGAGAGTTGTTCTAGTGATTACTTTCATAAGGTCACAGCTTGTGTCTACAAAATCACAAAGGAGTTGTTTTGTCTAATCACCTAACAGTGAGCCATTAAGTATCTGTAATTAAGTGCTCTAAAAATGTTTTTTACCAACATATATTACTGGTTGAGTGGATGAGGCAACAAACTGAAAACAAAGTATTTATTTGATACAATGGATGTTGGTGTTGAATTTAGTATAGTTAATACATTTAAGCTCTTGAGTTAATGTTGTGAATACTAGTAACACTGAAATTAGGCAATAGCAATAAACTAGTGAATTAGCTCCATAAAAGCAGTAAGATAAAAAGAGTAAATTTTTACATGTATTTTACCATGAAATGACCTTTAACAGGGTTCGTACGGGTCATGGAAAACCTGGAAAGTCATGGAATTTCGAAAA